TCGTCCGAGCCACGCGCGCCCGCGCGCGCTGGCGCGCTCGTGCGGCGGCTGTGATTGCGGCATGGAACGTATGGGTCCTGCCCCTGCCCCTCGTCCATCCCCCTCCTCCTCCTCCCCGCCGGCGCGCCCGACGGAGCTGCAGCCGCGGGACGAACGGGGACGACGACGACGGCGGCGGCGGCGACGGCGAGGGCGACGAGGACGACGCCGACGGGGCAAATGCGCAGGCCACGAACGACGCCGACATTGTGTTTTTAAGCCCGAAGGCGAGGGGTCACAAACAGTACCATCCTGTATCCAAGGCGTACGTGTGAAGCACCATATGTGGACATGCCTGGGATAAGCCTGTGGGGTAGGGCCTCGGGGTAAGCCCAATGGGCAAAGGGTGAGGTAAGCCTAAGTGTGAGCTTTACGAATAAAATCAGCCTACGGATAGAGTTTTAGGGTAAGGCCCAGGGGTATGCCTGGGCGCGGGGCCTGCGATAAGCCTGGGCGGAGCATCGGGGTACAGCACAGGGGTGAGCCTAACGTAATCCTAAAGGTAGGGGCTAAGCCCAGGGACCGCCGTAAGGTAAGGCTTATCGGGTACGTGTTAAGGGTAAGCCCAAGGGCACGACAGCCTAGGGGCAAGCCTAGCGCGCAGGGTAAGAGGTAGCCCTGGGGGTAAGCCTTACGAATATAATATGCCTCGGGCTAACGCCTTGGGGTACGGCCTAGGGGTATGCCATGGGATAGAGCCTGAGGTAAGCCTAGGGTAAGCCTCGGGGTACAGCATAGGGGTAATCCTCAGGTAATCCCAAGGGTAAGGCGAAGTGCGAATAACTTCGCGCTCTCGCGCCGCCTCCCAGGAGAAGAGAGGAGGATGAGGGGGAATCGGAGCCGAACCGCGAAGCGCGAAGCGCGAATAACTTCGCGCCCTCGGAGGCCCCTGGCCGCGGGCACGGCGCATGCCCCGAGCGGCGGGCGCCGCTCAACCTGCCTAGCGGCGGGCCCCGTCTCTCAATCGTCCCCGACGCTGTCCGCGGACTCGTCGTCGCTGGCCGACGCGCCCCCCCAGCTGGCCCGGGGCTCGGGGTACCCTGGTAAACCGAAGGCTGGGGCGTTGTGCCGCAGGACGACTGTGCCAAGGCCAGACGTCTTCCGCCCCGGCGTCAAGTTCCCCTTGGCCCTGCCGAGCGTGCGCTCCAGTGGGGGATTGCCGGCAGGGTCTGCAAGCAAGACCCTCACGCCTGGAACCACATCTGGGTATCGCTTCCGCCCTTGGTCCTGCCACCACGAGCAAAGTGCGCGAGGGCAAGCCGCCCCGGGCTTGTCCCCTGCGTCTATGAACGCGCGCACCTGGGCCGCCACCCGCTGGCGGGGCTGCTCGATCTGGGGGTCCGCGCCCTCCCTGGGGGGCCCCGGGCCCAACTGCGCCAGCACGGCCCGCCTGCCCTGGACCGTCTCCTGCGGGCCGCCCACATGGGGTCCAAGTAAACGGGGGCTATGGTGGATCGAGCCGAATCGCGCTGGCGATGTCGGCGATGCAACGGCGGCGTCGGCCCCGAGATTCTGGAGGCCGACGCCGCGCCCGGCCGCGTCGCCGACGCGGCGGCTCGATCCACCGACCCCATCTACCTCCATCCCATTCGAGCGGCATGGATCTCCTTCAAACGCCGCGGCTGGCCGGCGGCAGCGGCGCCTGGCGCTTCCGCCGAACCCGCAGCGGCAGCGGCGCCCGGCGCCCCCGCAGGGCCCGCGGCGGGGCCCGCCCCGGCGGCAGCGGCGCCCGACGCCGCCGCGAACGGCTCGTCCGGGAACCGGACGTGGAAGCACCATCGCTCGAAACCAATTCGGAGGACGGGGCCGCCGAGGTCGTGCGCGTCGGAAGGCCCGAGGGCGGCAAACGCCGCTAGTTTCAAGAACTGGTGGTACGTGTCCACACCAGTGAACTCGCACACCTGCCGGAACCGACGCACCAGCGGCCCTGGCTCGCCGACGACGGCCCGGTAGAAGGGGACCTTGTAGTGCGCATCGATGGCGCGGCGCATCTCCTGGAGCCGCGGAGCCCGCCGGCCCGCCCAGCGGGCCCTGCGGGCCCCGCCCCCCCCTCGGCCCCCGCCCCGTGAACGGGAGGGGGGCGAGGGGGGTGGACGTGCGATAGGCGGGCGCCACCCCAATCTGCCACGCCGCCGATCCTCGATGTACAAGTCCACCATGACCTCAAGAGGCTTCCGCGCGCCCTCGCGCAGGCTGGCCAGCTCGTTCAAAAACACCGTCATCACCGGCAATATTTGCGCAGCTCGTGCGTCCTCGGTCTCCAGAACGGAAGAACACGACTTGAGGTGCTGCAGAACCTCGTTGTTAGCGTCGACGAGATCCCACCCGCCAGGCTGCGGGAGGTCCGGCAACTCGACCTTCGTGCTCAGCGCGGCGAGGTCGTAGCGCAACTTCACTGCGCGAGCCCCCAGGCCCAGCGTCGAATGCCAGTTCGACGATGAATCCACGTGCAAGCTTCTGCGGCCTAGACTCCCAGGATGGAGAGTGCGCCACATCTTTCCCACGTCCTGGTCCTGCATCCGGAGGGCACAAGCCCTGAGCTGCTCCAGCGCGCCCACGAGCTCGGGCGCCACGTCCGCAGGCCCAACCTCGCGCGGGGGCTTGGACCTCCGATCTGCGTCTCTGACGAAACAGATGCGACGCACAGGGATCATCAGGATGTGGACTGAACAACGGGATGATGCCCGGCAGCTGGCGTCATGGGCGACCTTCACCGCGGAGCCTGTGTTGTCCGATTTCACCATGGGCGGCGCCTTCTCCAAGGACGACAGGTATCTCTCCTGTGGGTGGAGGCACGTTCGGAAAGACGACAGCGTCGCGTCCCTGCACGCCAAAGCAGACTTCGGGCCGTTGCCGTCCGAGGCGAAGCGGACCCCCTCTTCCAAGCCCAGCAGCACGCAGCGCGGCAGTCCTAAGGCAAGCCCAAGCCACAGAAAGGAAACCCTGCCCCCGTTTTCACAGGACGGGGGCGGGGAGGGGACCAGGGGATCGATCGATTGAACCCGATGCGGCGCCGCTCCTTGAGGGCATAGATAGCAAAGCATGGTCCCGATGAGGGTGCGATGCCAGGGGTCCTCCCACGCGTCGTGGCAGAGCACGCCCTCCAACTCGGTTGACCTCTGCGCCCATTCCTCCCGGAGCTTGCTCCACATCGCCTGGGTGTCCCTCTCCAAGACACTGCAGCAACTCGTTTTGGCGGGCCCCTCCCACACGAGTTTCGCTCCGGTAAGATTCGAACAATCTCGAAAGAAAGCTTGCCAACCTGGCCCCCGGGGCAGGGGGCCTGCCACAGGCACCCCTGCCATCGCGCCGAGGTTCCGCGCGAAGCTCGCCGTCAGCTTGGCCTGGGCGCTGCTCAAGGGGGTGATGGCGACGCAGAGCGATCTTGGAGGCTGGGGAAGAGGCTCCGTCGCACTAGACTTCCTGGCGCGTTTCTTGGGCGTGCCTCCTCCGCCCTCGTTCAAGACGGCCTCTATGTTCCCATCCGCGACGATGGCGCTCAACTCCTCCGGCTTTAAGCCATGATATTTCTTCAGATGGGCCCATCCACGGGACACTGCGCGCTTCTCTCCTTCCAAAACTCTGGGCATGGGCAGCTGTGGAATAAGCATCGTACCTGGGACTCCTGTTTCCCATCCGCGTCCTGGCGATGCCGCCCTGTGAGATGCACGACTTGCCACACCTTGCTCTGTGAACCTGAACATGGCGTCTTCCGCTTCGACGGGGTCACTGCCGCGGCTGCAGGCGCGGCCGCTTCGACGACGTCCACCGCAGCGGCCACGCCAAGAGCAGGCTCTGCGGCTCGAGGACTCGGCGCCGCCGGGGCTGCGGGAGCTGGTGGCGCATCCAAGTCGACGACCTCCACAGCGGCGCCTTCGCCATGACCAGACCCCGCGGCTGGAGGCACTGGCGCCGCAGATGCCGACCCTGCGACTGGGGGAGGACCAGGCATCGAGGCCGCGGGGAAACTTGGAAATCGCCTCTGCGCCTCATGGAGCGGCATTTGCCTTCGAGCCTATGCAACATCAAATAGCCTAAAATGCGCTGCGGCGAAAGATGACGAAGAGGAAAAGGAGGAGGAGGAGGAGGAGGAGGACGAGGAGGAGGAGGAGGAGGAGGAGGAGGAGAAGGAGGAAGAGTCGGAGGCCCGGGCGGACCTCCCCCGCATCGGCCCTGCAACCCTCCCCGCCTGGCGCGCGGAGAGTCCGCGGGGAGCGGCGCCTGGAGGCGCCATCAGGGAGGCCCAGCGCCCCGCGGGGACCTCCGAAAACTTCCGCACGTGCATATTTTCGGGGACGGACATGGCACGCTAAATCGACGCTAATCAACGCCAAACTGGTACTTTCCCCTCGACTGCCAGACGCCAGCGCACGCAAATGCACCCGACGAAGGGCGGTTGTTGCGAGGGCCCACGAGTCTGTCATGATTGGCTACCGAAGACCCCGTCTGAGAGGCCTGCACTCTCAACCTTCGAGGGCTTCCCTCCCTGATCTCCAGCGCGTACTCCTCTACAGGGCACCCCTCAGATACAGTGGGGGCCAATCCACGAGAAGCCTTCCACAAGAAGCTCAACCCTGAGACCCCAGGACGTCCATCAATGTCCGTGGCAAAAGCATCGAAACCCAAGAAAATCAGGGCACCCTGGAGGCAAGCAGGGCGCTCCTTGGCATGGGTCTCCAATGCGGCAGGGCACCTCTCAATGAAGGTGGCCCGGAGCCACCGGAGCCAGACCCTGCCACAAGAGAGCCGCTCGCGAATGGACTCGGCAGGGTGGGGGGTGGTCATGCTCTCAACCTTCAAGATGCGCCTTCCAAAGGTCCCCCAAATGCTGTGTGTTCGACCATGGGCCCCCTGTTGCCCATGGCTCCTGGGCCGTCTCCGGCGGTCTTCGGCGGTCTCCAGCGGTCTTCGGGCGGTCTTCGGCGGTCTTCTGACGTCCTCTGACGGTATTCGGCGACTTCCGGCGGTCTTTGGCGGTGTCCCGCTGCCTTCGGCGCGAGAGCTGGACGGCTGCGTCCAACATCCCTGGGAATAATTAACCAACCAGCCCACAACCTACTTCGCGCCACGGCACCTACTTCGCGCCCAGGCGCTCCAGGGCCTCATCGATGGCGGGGGCGCACCGCGCCAGGGTCGCCTCCCTCGAGAGCCTGGCGCGAGTGCGACACAACTGGCCGACTAAAAAAGCCTCGCCCTCGGCTGCCTTGCCGCGGAATCCTTGGCCTGATCCAGGCGCGGTGGTGGCCCTTAAAATCCGATTGATGAGCGGGTGCTGCCTGGGATTGTACACGCCAGCGCATCCCTGGCCTCTGCCAGCTCCATGTGCACTCGGAGCTCTAAGCTCGCGAGTGCGCCCTCGCGCCGGGGGTCCCGGTTCCTACAATACCAGCAAGTCAAACCGCGCCACTCCTCGCGGCCTGCCTGCGTAGCAAACCGGCTTGGCTTCTGAATTCCGCACACTTTGCACGCCCTGGCCTTCGCCAGCATGGCGACTAGGTGAGCCTGCCGCTTCTGCATGACGTGGGCGGGCATGAACTCCTCCTTCTCCACAAGCCCGAGCTGCGCGTCCTGGAACTCCCACAACCGATGGAAGATGTCCACTGCGTCGCCGCACTCCGCCTCTTCCTCGTCAAACTCGTCCCCGGGCTCAACGCGGGCCCGCTTTGGCGGAGGCTCTGCGTCCCCCTCCTGGTCGCGGTCGTGGCCCTCCTCCTGCTCGCCCTGCTCGCGGGGGTGGCCCTGCTCCTCTGGGACGGCCTTGAAGAGCTTGACCAGGTTCTTCGGGCGCGGAGCGAAGCCGTTCTCCCGGATGAACGATTTCGCGGCCTGGCTGAGGGCCGTGCCATGCTCCCTCGCCCACTCCGCGCCCACGCCGAGGTTCGTCCACTGGCAGTAGGCGAGGCTGAACAGCATCGGGTGGATGTGGCCGAACGCCGAGCATAGCGTTGACAGTCGCATGCGCGGCGGCAAGAGCGACAGACCCCCCTTGGAATCCGGGCGGGCGCGCACGAGATCCCCCACGCGAGCCGAATAGAAATCCGAAGGCCCCTGGTGGCCGCCATGCGTGTGGAAAGCCCCATGGACGATGGCGCTCTAAGCAACATGTCATGTTCCAAAACCGCGTGCGGAAAAAGCACCCGGGGCAATGCAACGCAAGCAATGAAGCAAACGGGGCCTACTAATGGGGCCCCGCCAGCACGGCCAGCGCGATGGCGGGGCCCCGTTACAAAAGGCCCTGCTGGCGTGGCTTTTTGGCACCCTGCGGGCCCCTGGTAGCGGAAGCGGCGCAAGCCTCGTGAATCTGCCGGCTCTTTGAGGCCGCCGAGGCGCGACCATGTTATCTTCCGGGCGTGCCATGCGGGGATGTAGTTCAACGCCTGCTGCAGGCACCCGCGGAACACGTCGGCTAAGTCCCGCTGGAACATCACAACCTCCACGCCTGTCTTGAAGGCCACGGGCGCGCCATCCGGCCACCTCGACGCGATCGCGGCCTGGATGTCGCGCAGGCACTTCGTGGGGTCCATGGCGACAAATCGCTCCTGCCTGGGCAGCGGCAGCGCTGCGGCGCCCGGAAACGGCTTGTGCTTCGTGACGATGCCCGCCTGCGTCAAAACAGGAAGTGGACCTGTCGCGTACGCTATGTCCCCGTGGTGCGCCACAGCCACGGCGTCGCGCGGGCCGTGCAAGAGCCCGTCAATCGCCCACGGGACGAGGTCGGAGAGCTCGTTGCCCGACGGCTGCTTCTCGAACATGTAATCCTGGAGGCTGCTAATCTTCATGCCGTAGAGGAGGAACTGGCGAAGGAGGTCGTGCTGATAATGGTCCTTGGGAAAATCGCCTGGGGTGAGGTCGCAGTCGGGGGGCGCGTGTCCGAGCCTCGGGTAGAACGGGGCCACTGCCTGAACAATCGACAGGCCATCGTTCGCCCGGATGATATCTTGAATGTCAATGGCCACCGCAACGTCAACGTGATTCGGGTCGCACTTCATCATGCATAAAAGCCCAGAGGGTGCGAAGACGAACTCTGCCACCTCGGATGCCTCTTTGCACGTGTATATGAGGGTCCCGGCCACCTGGGCCGCCGAGAACCAGGAACGCAGCACGTGCCAAAGTGCACTCCCCGTGAGTTCTGGGTGTCCACAAGCGCGGAACCCAAGAAGGAGCGGGACCACCATTCGCTTCGGGAAAAACTGATTTGGAACGCTGGTCTGACATCGCGCGCGTTCCCAGTTTGCTCCGCGGCCCGCCTGGCCATCGATGTCATGCCTGTGCGAGTCCATCAGCTCGTACCCTCCGGCGTGGCGAAACACCCCACATGATTTGCCCGTGTGCTCCTTTTCCCCGTCCCGCGGGCCCTCGTCCGGAATTGTGAGGATGGCGCCCAACATGGCGTTGTCCCGGAACTTCTCTAGCAACCTTGTAAGATGACAACGGTCCGCCTGCAATACAGTCTCGCTTTCGACGTGAATCGAAAGACCCCTCTCGTTGCTCAGCTTATCAACGATGCTCTCTGCGAGGCCGCCCCCCGATCGATCGCCCTCCCAGCAGTCCCACGCTTGCGCGCCAGAGTAGACGGTGCTGTTCACGCGGGATCTGCTCGCCAGTACGTCGGGGTCCACACCTTGCAGGCCATCCAGAATCCAAGTGGCTGCTATGAGAGCGCAGGCAGAGCATCCCTGGCATGCATCCCTGTGCTCATCTATGTCGTACTGGCTGCGGGCGCAAAGGGCCGGGTTATCACCCTCCTCGCCCAACATGTGATCGAAACCCCAAGCTCTGGAAGCAAGGGGGTCTAAAGAAAGGGCCCCGTGCGAAGCCCACGCTCTCTCCCACACTGGATTCCCGCGCAAGCTGGGAAACATGAGTTGCGCCAAAATGGCTGCGGAAAGGCGCACGCGCCTCCTTCCATCCCCTTCCCTCCCACCCAACGGGAAGAGAGGGGAATGGGTCGGAGTGGGAGCGCGTGGTAGGGAGTGACAGGGAAGAACCGGGAGGGACTGCGAGCTACTCTCATGGGAATGGGAGGGAGCGGGAAGGATTGGGAGGGTGGGAGAGGGAGAGACTGTGTGCTACCTAGTGGGAGGGAGTGGGGGAGAATGATAGGGAGGGGTGAGGTTGGGGCATGAGGGGCGGAAGCGGCAGGGACCGAAGAGCGGTGCCTGCAGTACCACCTGCAGTAACACATGGTCCAGATCTGATTTCTGCTGGCTGCGAAGACCCGCCACGGATACTCCCTAAGCAACACCAGGCCTCACACATAGTACCCCATAACCCTGAGAAGACCCACAGAAGAGTCCATGACCCCAACGACGATCGACGGCCCAAGACGACCCCAAGACGGCCCCAAGAGACCCCTAGACGGCCAAGCGGGCCACAAGACGGCCCAAGAGAGCCCCAAGACGGCCCAAGACGGCCGCAAGACGGCCCAAGAAGGTCCAAAAAGACCCCCCAAGACTGGCCCACAGAAGCCCCCAGGCGAAAACCTTATCCTACTCGCAGGGCCCGCCGCGAAACCCCTATCCTAACTCAATAGCCCCCCATACGACAACCTCATCCAGACTCCAAAGTCTCCGCGCGAAAACCTACTCAGAATTCCTTGGGTTCCACGCGAAAGCTTTATCCTAATCCCTGGGCCACTCTACGAAAACCGTATCCTGACTCACTGGCCCCACTAAGGAAAACCTTATCCAAATGCCAGAGGCTCCGCGCGAAAACCTACTCCGAATTCCTTGGGCTCCGCACGAAAGCCTTATCCTAACTCCTGGGCCACTATACGAAAACCTTATCCTAACTCACTGGCCCCACTACGAAAACCTTATCCAACTCCCAGGGGCTCCGCGCGAAAACCTAATCCTGATTCCTTGGGCCCTGCACGAAAACCTTATTATAACGCCGAAATCACTGGCCCCACGACCAAAACCTTATCCAAACTCCTTGGGTTCCGCGCGAAGACCTAATCCAAATTCCTTGGGCCCTGCACGGAAACCTTATCCTAACTTCCGGGGCCCGCTACGGAAACCTTATCCTAACTCACTGGCACCCCATCCGAAGACGATACCCAAACTCCAGGTGGTCCGTGCGAAAACCTACTCCGAATTCCTTGGGCCCAGCGCGAAAACCTTATCCTAACGCCCAGGGCCTGCTACGAAAACCTTATCCTAACTCACTCGCACCCTACCCAAACCATACCCAGACTCCAGGGGCTCCGCGCGAAAACCTAATCCTGATTCCTTGGGCCCTGCGCGAAACCTTATCCTAACGCCGAGGGCCCGCCACGGAAACCTTATCCTAAATCACTGGCCCCACGACCAAAACCTTATCCAAACTCCTTAGGTTCCGCGCGAAGACCTAATCCAAATTCCTTGGGCCCTGCACGGAAACCTTATCCTAACTTCCGGGGCCCGCTACGGAAACCTTATCCTAACTCACTGGCACCCCATCCGAAGACGATACCCAAACTCCAGGTGGTCCGTGCGACGACCTAATTCAAATTCCTTGGGCCCTGCACGGAAACCTTATCCTACCTTCCAGGGCCCGCTACGGAAACCTTATCCTAACTCACTGGCACCCCATCCGAAGACGATACCCAAACTCCAGGTGGTCCGCGCGAAAACCTACTCCGAATTCCTTGGGCCCAGCGCGATAACCTTATCCTAACGCCCAGGGCCTGCTACGAAAACCTTATCCTAACTCACTCGCACCCTACCCAAACCATACCCAGACTCCAGGGGCTCCGCGCGAAGACCCTTAAACTCACTGACCCTACCCAAACCATCCTCCAGGGGCTCCGCGCGCCTAATCCTGATTCCTTGGGCCCTGCGCGAAACCTTATCCTAACGCCGAGGGCCCGCCACGGAAACCTTATCCTAAATCACTGGCCCCACGAGCAAAACCTTATCCAAACTCCTTGGGTTCCGCGCAAAGACCTAATCCAAATTCCTTGAGCCCTGCACGGAAACCTTATCCTAACTTCCGGAGCCCGCTACGGAAACCTTATCCTAACTCACTGGCGCACCGTCCGAAGACGATACCCAAACTCCAGGTGGTCCGTGCGACGACCTAATCCAAATTCCTTGGGCCCAGCGCGAAAACCTTGTCCTACCTTCCGGGGCCCGCTACGGAAACCTTATCCTAAATCACTGGCACCCCATCCAGGACGATACCCAAACTCCAGGTGGTCCGTGCGAAAACCTACTCCGAATTCCTTGGGCCCAGCGCGAAAACCTTATCCTAACGCCCAAGGGCAGCTACGAAAACCTTATCCTAACTCACTGGCACCCTACCCAAACCATACCCAGACTCCAGGGGCTCCGCGCGAAGACCTAATCCAAATTCCTTGGGCCCTGCACGAAACCTTATCCTAACGCGAGGGCCCGCCACGGAAACCTTATCCTAAATCACTGGCCCCACGAGCAAAACCTTATCCATACTCCTTGGGCTCCGCGCGAAGACCTAATCCAAATTCCTTGGGCCCTGCACGGAAACCTTATCCTAACTTCCGGGGCCCACTACGGAAACCTTATCCTAACTCATTGGCACCCCATCCGAAGACGATACCCAAACTCCAGGTGGTCCGTGCGACGACCTAATCCAAATTCCTTGGGCCCTGCACGGAAACCTTATCCTACCTTCCGGGGCCCGCTACGGAAACCTTATCCTAACTCACTGGCACCCCATCCGAAGACGATACCCAAACTCCAGGTGGTCCGTGCGAAAACCTACTCCGAATTCCTTGGGCCCAGCGCGAAAACCTTATCCTAACGCCCAGGGCCTGCTACGAAAACCTTATCCTAACTCACTCGCACCCTACCCAAACCATACCCAGACTCCAGGGGCTCCGCGCGAAAACCTAATCCTGATTCCTTGGGCCCTGCGCGAAACCTTATCCTAACGCCGAGGGCCCGCCACGGAAACCTTATCCTAAATCACTGGCCCCACGACCAAAATCTTTATCCAAACTACGATGCGAGGCGCGTCTACCTTCGCTCTGGAAACCGTCGTAGGCTCAGACCGCGAAGCGCGAAGTGCGAATAACTTCGCGCCTCGCTCTGACGCCGTCCAGACCGCGAAGCGCGAATAACTTCGCACCCTCGAGGGAGCCCTTGGCAAGCACATCTTCGGAACAATACTCGGACAACCCCAAAAAAATTGAGCTCAAATGTCGTGTGGCCGCTATGAATACTTCAACCTATGCCTGGAAAGCGACACGTCTTTTGAAGCATTATGTGAGGTCGCAGAACAAATTACGCAAAGACGAATTCCATGATGAATTGCGGGTTCCCTCCGGATTGCTTCTCCTACGGTTCTCAGCAAAGCTGACAACAAAATAGAGGGGATTATTGCTGCCGATGCGTTGCGCAGACTCGTCGCGAAAACGCTTTCACGACAATTCCAAAATATAATGCGCGGGGCTGCCGCCCGTCATAATTTTGGCATCTCCGACCGTAGTGGGACCGATGCAACAGTTCACATGCTCCAGAATCTCAAGGACGCTTTCCCGAACAAGGTGATATTGAGTGTGCATGGTGTGGGCGTTTTTTTTTTTTTTTTGTTTGTTCTTTTTTGTTTTCTCTCATGCCCTCATGCCAAACTCATTCTGCCTTGGATTGCGCACGGTATTGGAAAGAACCCAGAACCGACTTCTGCCTGGAGCATTCGTTGTAGCATACCTTCACAATATTTACATGGCGTGCGACCCACATGACACAGCGCTGATCTTACATACGATACAACATGTTCTCAATGACACGTGCCGGCATAATAAGTCATTTGTGTATTTTTGTTGTGCCGTCGGCGGCACGCAGGGAGAATCAATGCCACCAACTTTTTGTACAACACATAATTCAAATAAAGTTTTTTTTTCGTATACAGATCCTGCCCGGCTTTCTTACCACATCTCACGGGCTTTTGTTCGATGGGCAAGGCCGCCAAAGGTCTAAGAGAGCTTTGGGGAATTCCAAAAGGTAGGATTATCCCGGCAAAGCAACCTAACAGCGATGTGTAGGAGCATATCTGGAAGCACTCCCCTTGAGATTCAGATGAGAATCCAGCTGTAGAATTCTGCTGTTCTCGCAGTCGTAGTCGCATTCGCGATGACAGTCGCAGTGGCCTGCATCAGCCTCAGCCGCCTGTCTCAGCATCAGCCTCAACCTCAGCCTCAGCCTCAGCCTGCCTCAGCCTCAGCCTGCTTCAGCCTCAGCCTCAGTCTGCCTGCAGCCTCGGCCTCAGCCTCACTTGCCTCAGCCTGAGCCTGCCTCAGCCTCAGCCTCAGCCTCAGCCTACCTCAGCATCAGCCTGCCTCAGCCTCAGCCTCAGCCTCAGCCTCAGCCTGAGCCTCAGCCTGCCTCAGCCTCAGCCTCAGTCTGCCTTCAGCCTCGGCCTCAGCCTCAGCCTGCCGCAGCCTCAGCCTGCATCAGCCTCAGCCTCAGCCTCAGCCTGCCTCAGCATCAGCCTGCCTCAGCCTCAGCCTCAGCCTGCCTCAGCCTCAGCCTCAGCCTGCTTCAGCCTCAGCCTCAGTCTGCCTTCAGCCTCGGCCTCAGCCTCAGCCTGCCTCAGCCTCAGCCTGCATCAGCCTCAGCCTCAGCCTCAGCCTGCCTCAGCATCAGCCTGCCTCAGCCTCAGCCTCCTCTGCCTCAGCCTCAGCCTCAGCCTGCTTCAGCCTCAGCCTCAGTCTGCCTTCAGCCTCGGCCTCAGCCTCAGCCTGCCTCAGCCTCAGCCTGCATCAGCCTCAGCCTCAGCCTCAGCCTGCCTCAGCCTCAGCCTGCCTCAGCCTCAGCCTCAGCCTGCCTCAGCCTCAGCCTCAGCCTGCTTCAGCCTCAGCCTCAGTCTGCCTTCAGCCTCGGCCTCAGCCTCAGCCTGCCTCAGCCTCAGCCTGCATCAGCCTCAGCCTCAGCCTCAGCCTGCCTCAGCATCAGCCTGCCTCAGCCTCAGCCTCAGCCTGCCTCAGCCTCAGCCTCAGCCTGCTTCAGCCTCAGCCTCAGTCTGCCTTCAGCCTCGGCCTCAGCCTCAGCCTGCCTCAGCCTCAGCCTGCATCAGCCTCAGCCTCAGCCTCAGCCTGCCTCAGCCTCAGCCTGCCTCAGCCTCAGCCTCAGCCTGCCTGCCTCAGCCTCAGCCTAGTCTCTCAGCCTGCATGCATCAGCCTCAGCCTCAGCCTCAGCCTGCCTCAGCATCAGCCTGCCTCAGCCTCAGCCTCAGCCTGCCTCAGCCTCAGCCTCAAAAAGCGTCGGCCTCAGCCTCAGCCTGCCTCAGCCTCAGCCTGCCTCAGCCTGAGCCTCAGCCTGCCTCAGCATTCAAAATGTGGCCCGGGAATGGAATTCTGGGAACTCGAAGAACACGAAGGGGCCTATAGTTGGCTCCGGGCATTCAAAATCATGCCCAGGAATGGAGTTCTGGGAATTCGAAGACCACGAAGTGGCCTACATCTGGCTCCGGGTATTCAAAATCATGCCCAGGAATGGAGTTCTGGGAACTCGAAGACCACGAACGGGCTTACAGTTGGCTCCGGGCATTCAAAATGTGGCCCGGGAATGGAGTTCTGGGAACTCGAAGACCGCGAAGTGGCCTACAATTGGCTCCGGGCATTCAGAATGTGGCCCGGGAATGGAGTTCTGGGACCTCGAAGACCACGAAGTGTGTAACTGTTTGCTTAAAACGACTTCCGCGGATTCTCCCCGGCACCCGTCTGGCATCTGCCCAGACCCCCCTGAGGAGTCAAGATGCTTTCTTTTGAGACCATTAGAAAACGATCAGTCTTCGCTGTTAGGTTAAAGGTTCCCAAGAAGTTCCCGAAGGGGTTCAAACACATCAGAATCTGATCCAAATGAAGTAGGCATCATTTCACGAGTTGAAGGGGACACGCCAAGCGCCAAGAAATTATTGTAATTGTATCCGGTTGGGGATACATTCGGCATATTGACCCCGGGCGGCTCCGTACCCTTACTGCGCTATAGCATCTTCGCATTTTGGATGCGAATTCCTACACTGCGGGGCGAGCATGTTCATATTGAGCATTTGCCGGTTCGCGATTTTGCCGGATTTCGGCAATGAGTGGAAGAATTTTGATAAAGAGGGAAACAAAACAGCCGGGCTGAAATCGAAATTGTTGATCCGACAATGTTTGTTGGGATTAGCTTTCCTGCGGCCTGGTCAGGTTCATGTTGCAGAAGACGTAACACCAAATTCGTAATTATCAATGTAATGCTATGCTGGCCTGTCTCCGCTTTGGCTACTCCACCTAAGAGTACTGCGTGTGACATGATCGCACCTACAACAATAAATCGACGTTTTTGTTTGCAACGTTCCTGGCACGCCGACATCACTAATGTCACGTCCATGATGATCAAGAACTATGACATCGGGCAACTCTGATATTTCTAATATGTAACTGTCTGTTGGGCGCATGCTATTTCTTTTGCCGTATATGTTACGGATGCTTTTGAGCATAACTCGAGGTGCTCTGAATTTCTTTAGCAATGCAAGCAGAACGTCGTTCAACATTTTCTTCCAATCCAGTGCAAGAAATCAGACGCCTCCTTCCTTGACAGCGTAGGCCAGTTTGATGTGTTTGCAAATAGCGCGGGTAGCGTTTGAAGCGTCATTTTTTTGCGAAAGCCATGCTGTGTTGGTGGCAATCGCTCCTCTATACAAAACACATCCGGCCATAAAATCATAAAAATACAGAACAAACCGATCGGGCCGGTAATGATCGCAATTGTCGAAAGCGCCCTTATCCTTGTAAAATAAGGAAACACTTGCTTATATTCAAAGTTCCGGCAACGTCTGCTCGTTCAAATATTTGTTACAGAACTTTGTGATCGAATTGAGCCCATAAAAAAAAAGGTAGACATTGCGTTTCAACATTCCGCTGGTATGTCGTCAACTCGGCATGCTTTGCTGCACTTCAGCTGACTCTCGTGCAGTTTCTCTACGATTGGCAACGAGTCTCCAATAGAGTTGCCGTTGCCCACAAATGTGCTGGACGTGTTTTTTCCACTGCGTAATATCGGCTCTTGGCTTTTCGCGCGCTGTACACCAAATTCCCTTTCGTGTATTTTAATCGCTCCTTTCGTCGCGTTTGGCCCGGGAATGCTTTCTCAGAACGTCCCAAATGACATTTGAGATGTGAAGTTCCGGAAAGTGTTCCGCACGACCACGTCTTGCATGGCACTATTGTCTGGTCTTCTCGCCGCCATGGGTGCAATGATTAAGCAATGGTCCGTAATTAGAGCGGCCTCCCGGCGGCTTCTTACCGAGCTAATGTGTGATCGCATGCGCGAGCAATGCCGCCTGCTTGCAGGCTGTTGGCGTCGCGGTCGCGGCTGCCATCGCATAGGCGAAACCCAAAGCGATGCCGTCCCCACTTGGTCCCATGTGGCATCGCCGCTGCGCCAGCTTCCTGTTCCAGTAGCAGCCGCCATCAGTTGTAAGAGAGGGTCCCTGCCAATTCTGCGTGCGTGACCCTGCCTTTTTGAGGGCCCGTTTGGGGTCGTGGCAGCACCGTCCGACGGCGAAACATCGGCATGTAGAATGGAGATCAACGTGGTGTCGATCGCCCACCATCTTGCCGTCGGTTGGCTCGACATGAGAACTGCATCACGAAATATGACATTTTCCCTCACTCGGGCCCCCGCTTCCCGCAAGATGCGCTCCCAAATGCGCTCGAATGGACTGGTCTGAATTTGAGCCGACCGCTCTTCGGGGCACGACGCGGCATGGTCTCTGTAATTGTCCATAATGTGCCGGCACGCTTTCCCACATCGTCCGCTCGAGAAGGGGATTGGCCACAGTAGGCGTCTCCGCATGGCAATCTCAAACTGTAGCGGTCGCAAAGTGAAGACGTGGTCCGAAAGGAAGGCTCTGAACCATGTGCTTGCCAGCCCACCAGTCTGCGACACAGCAGCATTGCACGGCGAGCCGCGTCACGCATAGGATTGTACCACGTGTTCCAGAAAGACGATTCAGAGTAAGAACAACCGTCGCACTGCCAATCTGTTTCGAAATCTGCTGCATCAAAGACGTTATCGCTAGTCGGTGGTGGTGGTGGTGGTTCGATGCCCTCTATTGCCGTCGTGGGTTGTTGTACTATCTGTAGATGTCAAGCCTCTTGTCGGTGGTGGTGGTGGTGGTGGTGGTGGTGGTGTCTGTTGGCCAACTAGTCGGTGGTGGTGGTGGTGGTGGTGGTTCGATGCCTCTATTGCCGTTGTGAGCTCCTTGAAATGCTCCGTTACCTGGAACAACTTCAACATTCGCACGATCCTGAGAATACGGGATAAGCGCAATAAGGACGTATTTATCATGGCCACATCGACAAAACTCAGGACCCTCTGGAGAATATCGGCGCCGAGGAGCGAACAGTCGAACACGTTCCACCTGAAGTCCTTGATCTTCGGCCTGGGATAGTCGGGCCACTCCGACAGCGAGCGGATGCAAACTTCGAGGAGAAACACAACGAAGAACGTCCAGCTGGCCAACTGGAAGAGGAGCGGGGCCGTGCCATCGCCGTTCTGGAGCTCCCACTCCGCCTACCACTTACAACGGAGTTCGCAATGATGGCGAAGCTGATGAGCGGCATGAGCCAGACTCTGGTCTGAAGCCTTCTCGCGAGGCCGCGCAGCCGCGAGACATGGAGCGGTGACCCAAGGGGCGTGTCCAGATGCCGCGCGGTGCTCTGCGTCCCCAGCCCGTCGTTGACAGCACAGATGGCCGGCGACCAGGATCCATTGCCAGAATTGCTGGCCGGATGATTCCGAACGGCAATGCCGAGAATTGGCGTTCCGCGAGATCCTGCTCTCAAGTGCTGGAAGCTGCTGACCCACGGCGGCTCGTGCCATGTCGGCCTCGGAATTGCTGGAGGTTGCTGACCCGCGGCGGGAGCCTCGGGAAGCTCTCCTCAACACCTCGTCTATCAGCGATCTCATCAGTGCATCCGTCTCCGCCTGCCCCCGCAGCAGCCTGTCAACCTTCTCGGTCAGCGCGCTCACCTCGTCGGCCATCTGCTGCTGCACCCTCGCGCCAGAGGCGTCGATGGAGCAGGAAGCTGGCGCCACGGAAGCAGGAGGGGGAAGAGGAAGAGGAGGTGGGGATTCAAGCCAGTCAGTGGGGCTCCTCAGTGGACCGCGCCCCCTAGTGAGGTAGCCAAATTTCGAGCCAGAAGTCACTCGAGCCGAAGCTCCCACCTCCTGCCAAAACGGCCACGGAAGGGGGCCACGCACGATCGTGGGGCCTGGGATGGCCCGACCCATTCAATGTGGCGGCCCTTCCCCTGGGGACCAGGCAATCTCACCCAGGGTAGGGCGATGACATCTATGCATACCCACTGCTCAATGGCCAGGCGCATCCTGAACCCAGCAGCAGTGTATACGCCACGCCCCTCTGGCTTGACCAGGAGGGCGTTTGCGCAGCTCCTGGGCCCAGGAAGGGCCTGGCCAGGGTGCACTGGATGTGTATAGATTTCGTCGCCCGACTGGGGACCGGCCAATCTCAGGAAAACGTGAGACTCGGGTTCGGGGGAGACGGGTTGGCCTGACGGGGCCATCAGTGAAAATGACGAGACCCAATCTGAAATTGGCCGCAAGCTCCCTCTGGGGACCGGCCAACCTCACCCAGGGCGGCGATATTCTGCCGACGGCCAAGACCGAGAACGGCGGCAGCCCGGCGGCTCGACTCCGCTTCTCGAGCTGCGGGGAGCATCCCGGGGGGGCGGGGGCGCCGGTTGGGAGAGGGCAGAAACAGACCCCTTCGCGTTGTGAAAAAGCTGCGACGGGAAAATGTTCGCGATTTTTTGCCTCCAGGGGCCTGTCCTTGGCCTCGGGACCGTAACGAAAACGACTCAGCATGGTCAACGAACCGTCCATTATGGCATTCCGCATGGCGCAACATAGCCCACATTGCGCCGCGCTTTCTGACAACGTGGGAGCAAGTCAGGTACCAGACGGCGAAGCAATCGACGCACCAAAAACGCGCCATCTGCGAGCCGCGCCAAACGTGCGCTGAAGATGCAAGCGCCAGTACAGTGTAGACGTCAGTTTACGCCCCGTGGGCGCAGCGGGACTCCTGAGGCCAACTTTCTGGCCGCGTCGCCACATTCGACAAAGCGCCAAGTGGCCGACTTGCAGAGTGAAGTGAAATAGAGGATGAGGAGGAGAAGGAGGCAGGAGGATGACAGGACAGGACAGGACATCCGCATAAACGGGGTCAGCGTCCACGCGCCTACCAATGAGCTGTAGGTTACGACTGGCAAAATCCCCCACGAGTTGACCATGCCGCAAACCGAGACTTCTCACGAGGCCGGCCGCTTTTCCAGGGCCTCCCCCTCAAGAGCAACGTTGTCATTGAGTCGAAGGGAAGCTCCTTCCCTGTGATCCATTCCCTGCCAAAAGAGGGTTCCCGGGGGGTTCCCCGGGGAGTCCCGGGGAGGTCCAGGGAGGGGTCCCGCGTCAGATACGACTCCCCCCCTGGGGGTCCTGGGGCCCACACAAAGCCTCAGACGGGCCAAGAGCCGAGGAGGCATTCTACCACGCCCTCTCCTCCCTCCCCCCCTCCTCCCTCCATCCTCATCTTTCCTCTTTCCTCCGTCCCCCTCGAGAACCGAACAGGCCTCCTGGACGCTCGGCCACGGGACACCCCAAGACCCAGAATTCCGAGGTCCCCGGGACCCTCCAGGACCCAGCTCCGAGGACCTCCTCCCAGGACCCAGCATCAGGAACCAGCCCTCCAAAAAGTCCAGGACTCCCAGGCCCCAGGCCCTGCTCGCCTCGTTCTGCTCCTATTCATTTCCCCCCTCTCCTCCTCCTCATCTTCCGCCTCATGTTCCCCTCCTCCTCCTCCTCCTCCAAGGCCTTCGCAATACTCTTCGTCTGGACGCCTGGCAGGCCCAACCATCCGTCGAAGCATGCACCGCTGCGTGCTTCTCACTTTGCGTGTCTGCCTGACTGTAAGGTTCCATGTTTCACCACACCAGAAAACTGCCTTGGACACGGTCGCGTCAACAAGTCGCAATACGTTTGATTCAACAGTGTCTTTTCATAAAAGGTCTCTGAAAGGCTGGAAAACGTTGCCCATCCAGACCGTCATCCCACAAGAGGTGCGGGACGGGAAAATTACCACAACCACTGCTTCTTGTTTGCGCCGCCTTCCAGCCGGCCGAAAAAGAAGCAGTGGTTGTGGTCATTTCCCTGGTGCCAAGCGTAACGAAAATGACCACAACCGCTGCTTCGTTTCTGCTGGCTGGAAGGCGGCAACAAAAGAAAAGCAGTGGCAGTGGTCGTTTTCACGTCCCGTAACAGGGGGGCCGAGAAACACGGGACCATCCGAGCCCTCCTCCGCTTCCCAGGATCAGTCCGCAACGACTCGACAACTCGGATGGAATCGGCACGTGCACCGGACAGGCCCGCATCGGCCAGGCATCGCAGTCGCATCGGGTCGGCTGCGCCAGGATGCGCAGCAACGCCATGCAAACATCGGGCCGAATCAGATCCTCGGAATACCAGAACCGAATCGGATCGGGCGGGCCGGAGTCATCATCGCATCGGATCGATCGGATGGAAACGGGCCCTGGCTCCCCCCTTCCCTCCCCTCCCTGCTCCAGTCAGTTGTAACGCGGACGCCTCTACGCGGGGAGGGAACGCTCGCTCCCTGGTACACGCCTTGAGGCAGTGCCTCGGGGCACCCCAGAGCGTACCCTTGAGGCGCTGCAGCGTTGGCAGCAGCATCACAACACACAACTGCTCCGAACTCCGCACAAACTAGCGCGGCGTATATTAAGTACTCCGTGGGGGCAATGACGTGAGGCGGAGGCGGAGGAGGCGGAGGAGGAGGCGGAGGAGGCGGAGGAGGAGGAGGAGGAGGAGGAGGAGGAGGAGGAGGAGGAGGAGGAGGAGGAGGAGGAGGAGGAGGAGGAGGAGGAGGATAGTGGGGGCAACAAAAAGTATGACCGGCCGCCCGAATGATGCGACACTCGCGCGCGATCCGCAGCGCACGCGTGGCACCTGCCTCTCGTTGGCTCAGAGATGGGGTCCTGAGGGGTGGGGTCCCAAGGGCAGAAAGGGGTCCAAGGGTGGACTTACACTCTCCAATCAAACAGAGCTAGGATCGGGATAAATCGCTCCAGAGCGTTCCGGAGCGCTCTCAGAGCGTTCCGGAACGCTCTGGAGCGGCCGCGGCGCCCAATACATCCTCCAAACCCGCCGATTCTCAGAGATTTCGAGTTGTCCCGATCCGATTTTGTCCCGATCTTCGTGCTGTTTTATCCAAGGCACCTCGTCCTCAGGACGCCATCCCTCGGGATCCCATCTTCGAGCCCCCGAGCCTCGGCCTCTCCTGGCGCCGCTCGCGGTGCAGGCGTGCGGAGGACGCCCGCCGCACGGCCAACCGCGGCCTCAGGCTGCGGCCTCCGGCTCGCATGCCGGGGGGACTTCGGGCACAGCGACGTGCCAGACGACGTACAGTGAACACGTGCAGTGAGGGCGGGTGGTAAGGACGGGGCTGAACCTACACGGTGTTTTTCGTTCTCGTTTTGCTTTCGTTCTCCCTCGCTTCTTGTCTCGAATCCGCCTGTACCGCAAAACGAAGTCGAAACGAGAACGGCCCACGAAATCGCCCAAACAACGTTTAGGTCCAGCCCTGGGCAAGGACGCAAGACCCCTGGAGGCCGAAGCCTGGGCTTCTTGGGCGGCGGGCGACCGGTGAAAACGGGAAAGGACGGGCCGCAGAGGCAAGGACTCGAGGGCACCCCAGAGGAGGGCGCGCGCCCTCACTGGGCGCGATGGCCGCACGTCCGCACAGAGGAGCACGCGCCAACTGTGCACCCGCACGCTGCCCCTGGCTTGGGCGCTGCGTAATGGGGGGGTCATAAATGGGGGGGGGCGGCGAGGGTGGTCCGAAAAGGTACCCAAGCGGTACCTAAACGAGCCCCCTGGGGCTCTGGAGGGGCCCGAAAGGGGCACGAAAGGGGACCTTTTCTGACCCCCCCATTTGTGACCCCCCCATTAAGCCACGCCCAACTGGCCAGGCCCCTCCCAGGCCCGGGAGCGGTGCCTCCGCCCTGCTGGCCACGCCGCTCCCGGGCCCGGGGTCGGCCGGTGCAGGCGGATCGACGGCGCAGAGGAGGCGGCACTCCAGGAGGCTCAACCTCCTTCTCCATCATCTCCTCCTCCTCTCCTCCTCCTCACTCCTCCTGCTCCTCCTCCTCCTCCTCCTCCTCCTCCTCCTCCCCTCCGCCTCCTCCTCCTCCTCCTCCTCTTCTCCTCTTCTCCTCCATTTCTCCTCCTCCTCCTCCTCCTCCTGCTCCTCCTCTTCTCCTCCTCCTCCTTCTCCTCCTCCTCCTAAGTCAGCCTCCGCCAGGTGAGCCCGGTCACTACAGAAGCCCAGGCATGAGCGGAGCGGGCGCGCCAGGCAGCAAACACAGCCAAGGCCAATGGTGTTCAGTCCCAGGCATCGGCGCGCCACACAAGGCGCGTGGCCCCGCACCGCGGGTGCATGTTTTTGTGTTACACTTCAGCCGCTGATGGTGGAATGCTGCCACGCCTGGGCTGAGGGCGCTTCTCCCACCCGCGTGATAGGGTCAGAGCACGCACTCCTTTACAGAGCACCGCAGGGATGTGGGTACTGGGCTGCGCAAGAAACGCGCTGAATCCCCTGGGGCACGATCCGCGCTGGGTGTGTGCAGAACTGGGCGGATCCCCCCACGCACACGCACCCGCTGAGGCAACACGTGGAGCGCCCTACTGGTAACGACCTGCGAAGGGGGCGTGCCAAAATGGGCGCGCGCTGGGGCATGCGAACTTTGCCACTTGGGCCGTAGGAGCCCCCGATGGGGCACGATCTGCGTGACAAGCGTGCCGAAATTGGCGCGCCGCGGCCTGCAAGCTGGCTCACGGAGGTCAGAAGTGGACCTCCCGATGGGGCACGATCCACGTGATGAGTATGAGGAAATGTGTGCGCCGCGGCATGCGAACTGGCCCGCTGAGGATGTCGGTGGAGCCCCCCTATGGGACACGATCGACGTGACGGGTGTTGAGAAATGGACGCGCCGCGGCATGCGAACTTTGCCACTGACGCCATAAATCGAGCTCCCTACTGGGCACGATCCGTGTCAGGGCCACCATGTAAACTTTGCCACTGGGGCCGTAAGTGGAGCTGCCTGAAGACAATATCCACGTGAGGATCTCTGTGCGCCGCGGCATACGAACTGGCCCACAGTGGCCGAAAGTGGAGCTCCCTATGGGGCACGATCCTCGCAACGGGCGCGAAGAAATGGGCGCGCCACGGCGCGCGAACTTTGCCACTGATGCCGCCTATGGAACTCACCACTGGGCACGATCCGTGTAAAAAGGCCGTGCCACAGATGGCGCGCCGCAGCACGTATCTTCGCCACTGTGGCCGCAAATGGACCTCCTCATGGGGTACGGTCCGCGTGATGCGGACGGGGAATGCAATTTTGGCCCACTGAGGACGTAGGTGGAACCCCCCATAGGGCACGATCCACGTAACGGGTGTTAGGATGGGCGCGCCCTGGCGTGCGAACTTTGCCACTTGGGCACGCTCCGTGTGAAGCCCGTGCCAAAATTGTGGTGCCAAAACATGTGAACTTTGCCACTAAGGTCGTACATTGAACTCTACGGGCGAGATCCGCGTGACGGGTGTGCCAAAATTGATTGGCGTGCCGCGTCATGCGATCTGGCCCACAATGGTCGCTACTTGAGCTCCCCGTGGGGCATGATCCGCGTGACAGGTGTGCCGACTCGGAGCGCCGCGGCATGCGAACTTGGGGACGGCATGGAAGCTCTCTAAGCCTCCCCCGAACACGCGCGCAGCTCATCAGAAGACGCGAGGGCCTCCGAGAAGCCCCGCCGCCCTCCGAGGAGGCCCTCCCCCTCTCATTTCCCCCCCCTCGCCCGTCGCCGAGGTGTGCCAGGCGCGGGGCGTGCGGCCCACGCGAGCGCGCCCCTGTGGGCACGGACGGTGGAGGCCCCCTGTGGGGGGGGGGGGCACGAGCCTATCGTAGGGCGTGTGTGTGCGTGTGTGTGTGTGTGTGTAGGTATGTGTGTGTGTGTGTGCGTGTGTGCGTGGTGTGTGTGTGTGCGTGTGTGTGTGTGTGTGTGTGTGTGTGTGTGTGTGTGTGCGTGTGCGTGTGCGTGTGCGTGTGCGTGTGCGTGCGTGTGTGCGTGTGTGCCGAAGATCGGCACGCGCGGCACGCGCCCACGCCCACCCCCCTTGGGGCCGAGGGTGGAGTTCTCCATGGCAGGGCTCGGGCCAAGAAGTACTTGTCCTTTTCGTTTCGTGTGTTCGTTCTCCCTCGTTCTGTCTTCGCTCTGTGCCTTTGCTGCGGATGGAGCACAAAACGAACACGGTCCACATACTCGCCAAAGCACCGGCTGGCTCGAGCCCTGCTCTCAATGAGGGGCCGAAGCGTGGGAGGGGCGAACCGGGGCGCTTATGCACGACTTTGCGAGGGCAGCTCACGCGCCAGTGTCGGTGAAGACGAACCCGTTCTATCATCGAGGATACAAGAACCCCTAACGCTAACAGCATAGTGCAGACGTGGCTTCACGTAGGCCCCCGTCTGTGTATCAGGGAGCATAGTTCTGGGCGGTTTTTCTTCGATATGCCTGCAGAAGAGACCCCTCTCCCTAATGTTCTTGGGCCTCCAAACTCAGGTCCCCTCCCAAATGGTTAGGGGTCCTTTCGTCGCCCACCTGCAAGTGGAGCTCCCGATGGGGGCATGAAGCGGGAGGTGAGGGCGTGGATCGGCTTCGAGCTGCCAACGACGCAGGAAGGCATACGGGCTGGGAAGCACAGGGGGAGAAGGGAGGCAGGAGAGGCAGGACACGCGGCGCTGCGGATTGAAAATAAGGGCCGCTGGGAACGCGGACATAAAGGAGCGTGCGCCACTCCGTGCTTGGCGGAGCGGGCACGTCTTTACGTGAAGACCCGTATCTGGCCCGACGGCCAAACATTCAAACGGTCAATAGCAGCGTGGAGAAGCGACCAGAGGTGGAGACTTGGATTTTGACCGGGCTGTCGACTGTTCCCCTCCGAAATCCCCTCTCCCCCCCCGCGGCCGTCCTGCCGTTCTTTTTCCCTCCTCCTGCATGCTGGCCAATTCGCTTTGTAGTGCCCCTGCATCGCTGCCACGCTGGAGCGGATTGTTCCGCCTCGCCGCCGACGGAAAAACATCCCCTCCCAAACCCGCTTGCTCCCCCTATTCCCCTCCCCCTCTCTCATGTTCGCCCGGCTGGGCCTCCTCTCCGGTGAGGCCGCGGCAGATCTCAGAACAGCAGGCTTGCCTGCCAGCGCGCTCCTACGATGCTCCTATCGCGAATCCAGGACGACTACTTCGGTGCAAGCGATGCCAGAAGCGGGTGCAACAGGGATGCGTTCACTCGACACGAGCGGAGGCTTCCAGAAACGGAGCAACAGGGAAGTCCAGACCACGAAGAGGGATGAGCATGACATGCCAATGCCTGCTCTGGGACTCAGGCGTTTGGGGTTACTAAGGAGGGGAGCTTTCAAACACAATTTGGCCGATGTATATGTGAAGCTATGATTGACGAACGCGCAAAACAGTGCGACAAACAGAGAGGTATAGAGAGAGAGATAACCAAATTGTGAGAGAGTGAGGAGTACATAGAGATGCATCAGCACACACATGCATACATGGACATGCATATACATATATAAAAGTATACAGTTATATATATATATATATGCACGTATACGCCCGCATCCATACACATATATATGTATATATACATATATGTATATATATATATATATGTATCTACACATATATATATATATATATATATATATATATATATATATTTAAAAAGAGAAACATGTAAGCACATATAAGCATACACCTATATATATGCACATATGTATACACATATGTAATAGTGAAGGCGAGACAACAGACAACACAAGACAAGTATAACACTGGCTTGTCGTCTTGCTTTCGTATCCTCCCTGCAAACTTACAAACCCCAGAGCTGCTGGACGCCTGCTCCCCCCCTGCCGAACCCACCCCTTGTCAGCCCCCAGGCCTGCGACGAGGGGCGGTATGTGGGCCGTCGGGTAGAAGATCCCAGCCGCCAGGGGGAGGCAGACGAAGTTGAAGCAGAAGGCCCAGAAGAAGTTTACCAGGATCGTCCTGAAAGTGGCCCTGCTGAGCGCCAGGAACGCCGCGACTTCGTCGATCTCGTCGCGCACGAGCGCCACGTCCGCCGCATCCACCGCCACGTCGGCTCCCACGCCGAGCGCCACGCCGACGTCTGCCTCGGGCCCGGCCCCGGAGCCCGGACGTCGGGGACGTGCCGGTCGCGAGCACAAACCACATCCTTATCCGCGCCCTCGCAATCTGGATTCCGGGGCGCGATCCCGCGGACACGCGGTCGCGCAGACACGTTCCGCGCGGGGTATCCGCGACAAAAGCGCCGCGTATCCGCGGGGTCGCGGCCCGGGGGCGCCCGAGAGGCCGCGGGTACGATATGTTTGTTCGTCCACGAACTGGGCCGAGGAAGGCCCGCCCCTGGGCGCTTCCAGCCAGAGGAGGAGGAGGAGGAGGGAGGAGGAGGAGGAGGAGGAGGGAGGAGGAGGAGGAGGAGGGAGGAGGAGGGAGGAGAGGAGGGAGGAGGAGGAGGGAGGAGGGAGGAGGGAGGAGGCGGAGGGAGGAGGCAGGAGGGGGAGGGAGGAGGAGGGGGGGGGGAGGAGGAGCAGGAGGAGGAGGAGGCGGAGGAGGCGGAGGAGGCGGAGGAGGAGGGGGAGGATACAGGAGGAGGAAGGAGGATGAGGAGGAGGAAGGAGGAGGAGGAGGAGGAGGAGCCTCCTTTGGTGAGGGTCCCGGCCCCAGGAGTTCCGAGCGTGGGCGCGGGGTCTCCGAGCCCCAGCGAGGGGCCGAGGCCTTCCTCTCTGGAGCGAGCGCTTCTGGGAGCCCCCTGTGGGGGAGGGGCCCCCAGGGGTTGGGGAGTCCCGCTCTTCCTTGATGGGCCTTCCCACTGTGCCGCGGGTCTGAATGGGAATTGAATATGAATGTGATTGGGGCCGTCTGGGTATGAGTGGGTCTTGCAAGTGTGCCTCAGCATGCGTGGCTGGTACGTATGATTCTGAGTATGGATGGGTTCGATAACGCACGAGCCTGAGTAGGTACGCCGATTTTACCGTAGCACCCCACAGTTGCCGATAAGAGTGAGGGGGCGGCGGGGACGTCTGCAGTCTGCGAGGCTCTGAAGAAACCCGCCGCACGCGCTGAACATTTACAAATCATACAATGACCCGCCGCAAACGCCAGTCTTTCGTTAACGCAATGCGGGTGGGTCGCGGAATGGGTCGCGGGTGGGTCGCAGGTGGATCGCGGGTGGGTCGTGCGCAGGTGGATCGCGGGTGGGTCGTGGGTGCGTCGCGGGTGGGTCGCGGGTGGGTCGCGGGCGGGTTGCGGGCGGGACGCGGGTGGGTCGCGGGTGGGTCGCGGGTGCGTCGCGGGCCGGGTCGCGGGTGGGTCGCGGGTGGGTCGCGGGTGGGTCGCGGGCGGGTTGCGGGCGGGCCGCGGGTGGGTCGCGGGTGGGTCGCGGGTGGGTCGCGAGTGGGTCGCGGGTGGGTCGAGGGTGGGTCGTTGGGTGGGTCGCGCGCGGGGTCGTTGGGTGGGTCGCGGGTGGGTCGCGGGTGGGTCGCGGGGGGGACGACGCCAAACAACAACAACAACAGCAACAACAACAACAACAACAACAACAACAAAACCAGCAACAACAACCAACCAACAACCAACAACAACAACCACAACAACAACAGCAGCAACACCAACAACACCAACGACAACGACCACGACACCGACACCACCACCACCACCACCGCCACCACCACCACCACCACCAACAACAACAACAACACCAACAACAACACCAATAGCACCACCAACACCACCAATACCACCACCAGCAACAAACACAACAACACCACCAACAATAACAACACCAACAACACCAGCAACACACACACACCAACACCAAGAGCACCACCACCAACACCAGCAACGCCACCAACACCACCAAGAACACCACCAACACCAACACCACCACCAACACCAACAGCACCAACAACACCAACACCATAAGCAACATCAACAACAACACCCCCATCAACAGCACCAGCAACACCAACAACAACACCAACAACACCACCACCAACACCATCAACACCAATAACACACAACAACACAACAGCAACAGCAAAACCAGCACCAACACCAACAACACCACCACCAACAACAGCAGCACCACCACCACCAACAACAACAACACTAACACCAACACCACCACCTACACCAACATCACCAACAACACCAACAACCTCAACAACAGCACCCCCATCAACAACGCCAACAACACCAACAACACCACCGACAACACACCACCACCACTAACACCACCAACATCAACAACACCACCAATAATAACAACAACAACAACACAACCAACCCGCATAGCGGAATCCACTTCAGCCACGCACCCAGGGACAGTGAATGACCGTCTGGCCCCCTCACTCTGATACATGTCTGCGTTTATGCCAATATCAGAATGGGGTGGTCCAAGCAAGAGTGGGACTGAACACTGCAAATTCTGGACGTCGGCGAATCTACATATTAGTGGATTTGAGTTTGCGTGGCTACGTCTGAGTAGGATCGGCTAAGTATGTGGCTGCGTATGGAAGTATGAATGAATCTGGGTGGACATGGACGAGTCTGAGTATGAGCGGCTCGGTATGGGTGAGCCTGAATATGAGCGGGGCTGAGCATGAGTGAGGCTGAGCATGAGTGATTGTGGGGCTGCATGGGTCAAAGTATGTGCGCAGGTCTGACCATGAACGGTATGAGCATGGGTGGCTATGTGTGCGGATGGCCATGGTTACGAATGACTATGGGCCTGCGTGGGTCTGGATACGTGAGAATGACTCTGGCTGCGAGTGCGCCTGATCATGAGTGAGGGCATCCGATCGGCGCATGGCATTATTCGACCTTCAAGGCTTGGACGCACGGATGCACGAGTGAGTCCCGCTGGCCCATGCCGTCGTCCACCTTGGCCCTCTTCGCGGCGAGGGTTGCCGCCGCGTGCGCCTCCGTGAAGCGCCTGGCCGCGACGCGGGCCCCCTCGTCGTCGTCGCTGGGGACTTGCTGGCCAAGTGACTGGAAGCGCGCTCAACTAGAAGCCGCCGTCTCCCACGCCGTGGACGCGAGCGCCCGTGCAATCGCTGGGCGCGGGGCAGTCGGCTCCACCTGCGGGGCGCGGGGGCGCTGCGTCTTGGCATCCGAAACCTCCAGGGGGGGGGGCGGTCCCTGGCCTGGAGGGGGAGCTGGCCGTTCTCAATGGCCTCCGCCCCGTCCAGACCCCCATCGCGGAGGTGGTCCTCGAGCTTTTAGACGGCGCTCTCCAGGACTGGGATTACCTCCGCCTCCTTGCCCCCTGGATCATCTGCTTGCCGAGGTTGACCAGGAGGGCCCTCGCCGCGGCGAGGTCCTTGTCGCGCTTGACCAACTGCTCCTGCTGGGGGGCGAGCTTGACCTCAAGTCGCTCGATGTCGGCCTCGGTGGTGTAGATGTCGCGGTCGGCCGTAGCCGCGAGCCCCTCGACGCGCTTGATGTCGCGGTTGCAGGCCGCGTAGCGCTTGCCGGTGGGCAAGTTCTCCTGTCGTATCGCCTTGAGGCTGTCGAGCTCGGCCTTCCAGCGCACCGCGTTCTCCTTCTCCGCATCGCCCATGTGCTCCCCCGCCTGGACGAGGGCCGCGAGGCGCCTGATGCGGGCGATGACCTCCGCCGCGTCGCCCTGCGCCGTGGCCTGGGGGAAACCTCCGCCGCTGCAGCGTCGGCCTCTCCACCGCGAGCCTTAGCCTGACGGCGAGCCTGCTCGAGCTCCTTGGCATGCTTGGCCTGCATCTCGCGGGTCTTTTTCTCCATGGGCTGGTACTGCCAGGGCGCGAAGACGCCTTTCGCCTCGCCCTTGCTTGGGCCGCTGCCGCGGGTGGAGGGCTCCTTGCCGCTGACGACCGCCTCGCCGAACGCCACGCCCTTGTGCATCTTGCAGTCGCCGCAGATGAGAGGCTCCACCCACTGTTGCGCAACCGCTGACGCTTGTTGGTGCGGCAGGACTTGCAGAGCCACGGCGCGCGCTCGGTCGCAGCGCGCGGGGGCGGCATTTGCCCACCTCCCCCACCAGGGGCAGCCCTGCGCGCCAGCGCCGTGGCACTGCAAGAGAAACAGTGAGGCGTCCCCGACAAGGGGTATGAAGCACTGGAAGCCGGCCGCGGTTTAGCGGTATCCACTTGACCCTCCAGAGGGGTCTTGCGTCTTGAGCCAAAACGGCTACGGAAGGGGGCGCGGAGGAGGAGGAGGAGGAGGAGGAGGAGGACGAGGAGGAGGAAGAGGAGGAGGAGGAGAAGGAGGAGGAGGAGGAGGAGCAGGAGGAAGAGCAGGAGGAGGAAGAGGAAGAGGAGTCTCGTCAGGAACGCCCCGCGGGCGGCCGAGACTCTCCGGCTGCTCGAGCCCGTCGCGCCAGCCCGGGCCCCCACGGCGAGGGCGTAGGCCCGGCAGGCGGGGCGTCGGCAGCCAAGGGATGGCACCCGGGAGGACGCACGGGTCTCTTCTAGGGGGCAAGCGAGGCTACCTCGTTTTTGAGCAGGCTCGCTTCCAAGAGCTACCAGGCGATGCCAAACTGCGGCCCGCAGTGGTCCAGCCGCTCGACGGGGAGACGCGTGGCATGACTTGGTTTTGCCTGGAAGCGAAAAGCGGGGTAGGTCATGCACGCTCTGGTCTTCCCTGGGGAGACCTTGTCACACCATGACGCGGGCGTCCTGCGCGGAGCAACGTGCCCACTTGCTGCGCACGGTGTGTGCGTGTGTGTGTGTGTGTGTGTGTGTGTGTGTGCATGTGTATGTGTGTGTGTGTGTATGTGTATGTGTGTGTATGTGTGTGTGTGTGTGTGCGTGTGCGTGTGCGTGTGTGTGTGTGTGCGTGTGTGTGTGTGTGTGTGTGTGTGCGTGTGTGCGTGTGCGTGTGTGTGTGCGTGTGCGTGTGCGTGTGCGTGTGTGCGTGTGTGCGCCCAACTTGCGCGCCCATGTGGGCGACGACCAGAAGCGGGCCTCATGCGAGACGGCACGTCGACCCCACGTGGTGGCTTACGCGGGCCGCCGGCGCGGCAGACCACACCGGAGACGAGGACGCCTGCGCGCGACCTTGCGCGGGGCAGCGGGTGCTCCGAACACGAAGACTGGCGGCGCGCACAAATGAAGGGGCCCCAGGACACACAAATACATACGCACAAATAAAAATGTTCCCCATATTTTCCCATCTTTTCTGGGTTTCTGTCTTCCCCCCCACTTCCCATATTTTCCCATATTTTTTGGGGAATCGAGGACTAATTGTGTCTGTGTGTTTTTTCCTCTCCTGAACAAAGGGGGGCCCTCGTCTTGATGCCGACACCTTCCACCGAGGAAGAGACGGCAACGCCCTCCATCCTCGAAGGTGGGGCCCCTTCTGGAACGCCTCCTGTGGTGAGGGGGCGCCGGCCACACGATGCGATCGAAAAAATTCGAGCATCCTGGCAGCGCGCACCGGGGAACGGAGGGAGGGGGGACGGTTTCTCGGAAAGAGTCTGCTCTTAGAAGGCGCCGGCCTTCCGCACCTCCTGAGGAGCCTGCCGACCTGTTCAAGGTCGATGCCAAGGGCACATCTGGCAGGAAGACAAAACTGTCAACCCACAAGGCTACCGACGCTGGTGTCAATCCAACCCTTCGTGGGTCGCACGCAATTTCGAACCCGTGCCTCCGTGCCACAAGGGCTATATGCCCCTGGGCATACATTCTGAAAACCATGCTGATGAGCATCGCACAAGAGTGCACTGCCTATCCACCTGCATCGATCCTTGCAAAGCCGACTCTTGGCCCAAGCCTGTTGGATACGCACTTCAGTATGGGAGATGCGGACAGCTAAGGAGTTCACACTAATCATACCATTTGGGTTGCTGAAACAACATATCTTACATTTTATGAACGATGGAGGCCGTCACGCGCGGGAGATGGTGCGCCAGCGACGGGCTGGACTAGTTGGGTGGCTGGACGCTAAAGGGCTCCGTCCTATGAATCATAGTCATAGCCAGGAGGTGAATTCTGGCAGTGCGATATCCCGGGTCCATATGAATGCTGCATCCTCTGAGCAAGGATCGCACCCGGAAGTGGATTTCTGGCACCACGATGCGCTCGCTAATTTAAGGTTGCACCCTGTCAATCAGAACCTGGATTCAAAACTAAATTCTGGAACCTTGTCCTGCCCCGGGAAACATTCTGCGTCCTGTGAGCAAGAATCGTAGAAGGGAGAAATTATTCTGGCAGCGCGACGGAAGACTGGCACCTACCTGTCACTTGAGTTTTGCATCCCGTGGCTCAGACCTGTATTTCGTAGTGTAATGGATGCGCGATGTCATATGGGCTCTGCAGGGCTTAATCCTGTGACCCAGCCGAACCCAGGAGCTGAGTTCTGGCAACAATCACCAGGCGCTGGATAATTGCGCTCTGGAGCACTTTGGAAAATCAGTGAGGGGCCCTGCCCGCTGCCTGAGCCAGGGCCAAAGAATCGTTCATGCCGTCGCCGCAGAAGCACACCTTCAACGGCCGCCTCCCCGGCTTGGCTGGCTTCTGCAGCTTCGCGACCAACTCGCTCTTCGTCGCCGGCATGGCCTCGCTGGGTGATCCCGGGGCCTACCCCCTCCCAGTCCGCCCCGTTTCTGGACAGACCCCTCCTCCTAGGCGAACTCCTCGCGCAACGTCGCCCCATGCAGCGCCTGCCAGTGGCTCTCTGGGCGGCCCTTGGCGTAGAGTAGTTCCCCAAGCGTGTCTCTCTCTCTCTCTCTCTCTTACTCTCTCATCATTTTTTTGTTTTTTCTTTTATCTCTCTCTCTCTCTCTCTATATATGTATACTACTTGCAAGCTCCCACTGAAGATCCCGCTCTCCATGTTACGTACCAACTTCGGCCCCTGGCTGGTGCTTGCAAACTCCCATTTGAGGATCCCGCTCTCCATGTTACCAGCTTCGGCCCCTGGCTGGCCTGCGAAACTTAATTTTCGGCCCCAGGGCAAAAGATGTGGACGTTCAAAGACAATCATAACACATTGAACGCATTTTGGTACCCAAGAACGCCTCCAAAGAACCCTGGGTTCCGCATCGCTTGCCCATGTTGATCCCAAGAAGCCCTCAAGACGGCCTCAGAAGCCTCCACGGGCTTTCAAAGACAGCACGGGAAGCCTTCAAGAAACCTTCAATCAACTTGGAAGAACGGCCAACGACGTTTCCGAGGGCTCCCCAGACGTTCGAAAAAGACTCCAAGCGCCCCCCCCCCACCCCCCTAACACAGCCTGAGGCCCATGAGCCGTCTGGATACACCGAGTAAGCCCACGAAGCCTCCCATTAGGCAACGCAAACGCTGCGCAGAGGCCCCCTAGGAGGAGACTCTATCTCTGGAGAGCGCTCATGCGGACAAGGATGGAGGGGGGTTGAAAGTGGAGGGAGGAAAGAGGATGGGGAGATGATGGTGATGATGGTGATGGTGATGGTGATGGTGATGATGATGATGATGATGATGATGATGATGATGATGATGATGATGATGATGATGGTAATGGTGATGGTGGTGGTAATGATAATGCAAACGGGGGTACTGCTGATGCTGATAACGATGATGCTGATAATGATGATGATGTTGATGATGTTGTTCCGGCTGCTGCTGATGACTGTGCTGAGGATGAACATGATGATGATGGTGATGGTGGTGACGCTGACGATGACGACGATGATGATGACAATAATGATGTGGATGCTGCTGATGATGATGCTGGTGATGCTTATGATGATGACGACTGGTGATGCTGCTGCTGATGATGACAAGCAAACGAATGCTAATGATGCTGCTGATGGTGATGATGATGCTGCTCATTCTGATTCTGATGATGATGAGGATTATGATGATGCTGATGCTGATGCTGCTGCTGCTGATGATGATGATGCTGATGGTTGTGATGATGATGAGGAGGAGGAGGAGGCGGATGAGGATAGCAGGAGAGGACTGCAAGGAGGGGCCCCAGGAGGCTGGCGAGAGTCTCCAAAAGGCTGCCACCCTCGGGGCGAGCTCGTAGCAAAGGTGCCTCGTTGTGCCCGTCTTGGCGCCTTTTTGGTTCACATGCTCCTACAACTTCTGCTCCCCTTGATTGGACGCCCGAATTATCCAGGACAACTGCGGTCCGGGGTAACTCTGGTTTGGGCCCCCGAGGCGCGAATCTGAAGCTATCCCTGACTGCCCCCAACCTTGATGATTCGGGAGGGTTGAACGCCCGAATTATTCAGGACAACTGCGGTCCGGGGCAATTCCAGTTTGGGCCCCCGAGGCGCGAATCTGTAGCTATCCCTGACTGCCTCCAGCCCTCATGATTCGGGAGGGTTGGACGCACGAGTTATCCAGGGCAACTGCGGTCTGGGGTAACTCTGGCTTTGGCCCCCGAGGCGCGAATCTGCAGCTATCCCTGACCGCCCCCAGCCACTGATGATAATCCGGGGCTCTGACTTGATACCTTCCCCATGCTCGATCATAAAGGGCCAAACCAGATCACACCAAACCATACCGGGCTATATTAGACCGTGACAAGCCAGATCAGGCCACACAGCGTCTGATCATGCCATGCTAGACCATTCATGGGCAGAGCGTGCAAAGATATATATATATATATATATATATATATATATATCAGATCAAATCTCACCCATGCCTCTGTAGGTCTTCCTACCGCCGACTGCGCACACACTGGAGGCATAGGGAAAATGTCGTTGAAGTTACAAGAGAAAGGAGATGAAGGAACGGCGGAAAGAGTATAGTGGAAGATGACGTCGAGAGGCCAATGGATAAAACCGAAAACGAGACGGAAAGACTGAACTCCTGAAATGCAAACTCTACGCACCTATTTCTTAGACAAGACAGATCGGCACACATTTAACTACGCCCGGCCACACTTGACTCGACCGTACGCGACCAGACGGTACCAGACCATACCACTCGATCCAAGGCCAGTGCATGTTAGACCAAGCGAGCAGTGAGCGAGACACCATTCGCTGGATGGGCTGTTGGTAATACACGAACAGTTTCAGACTATAGTGTAAACTGGACCAGAAACGATCCAGGAATAATTGTTCAAATGCGTCTTGGAACATTCTGGAAACCATGCTGGACAGATGCTGGTCTAATTTGCACAGCCCATGAACTTGCCAACATGGGCTGTACTGCGCCCCATTGCGCTGCATATCCTGCGTAACCCCTGCTGCCTCTGCCAACCCTCCCGAGCTCCCGCTCCCGTCGAGGTAACGCTGCGGCGTGGGCGGCTGGGGCATCCCGCTGGGCCTCGGCAATCACGTGCTCGATCCCAACCTCCCGCGCGATGACGTGGGCCGTCGCCGCGTTGTCTCCCGTGCACATCCAGACCTAGAGACTCGGCACCAACACCACGAGGCATCAAGGAACGTCGTCCTGGTGGTGTGGCCTCCGCTCGGGGCACCTCCAACCTGCTGCTCGGGGAAGCAACGCGGACATCCTTGCCAACGATGGCCCACTGGTGGTGGCATTGTCGCTTCTGTTCCTCCGGAGGACCGTCGCACCCAACTTTCGCTGCACGTAGTCGATGACACCCGGGGCCTCCTCCCGGACTGGATCGCGCAAGGCCACCGCACCAGCCGGCACACCGTCGATGTGGAGAAGGACGACAATGTGGCCCTGCCCCTGCATGTCCTTCATCCACTGTACCACTTTCTCGCCAGACTCCGGCTGCTGCTCCGCCGCATTCTCCTGGAAGTAGCTCAGATTTCCGACCCTGGCAGTGACGCCGCCCAGCTCGCTCATTATGCACCGGACGCCTCTGCCTGCAGTCACCTGGGCTCGCTGGAACCCCGAGGGAGAAGCTAATGGTGGGCCCTTGAGATTCTATCGGAGTGGCGGGCACGTGGGAGGCACATTGCCTGACACGAACGGCAAGCTTGTAAGACTGGGGAGCTGCGCGAGCACGCGGAACGTAATCACGATAATCGCAAATTGAGGCTAGGTGTGACCGACCACCACGCGTCCACACAGGGATTCCTCCTCCAGTCCCCTCATCCTGCTCCCTTCTGTATCTTCCCTTCCACTGTTTCCTCGTCGTCGTCCTCCTCCTCCTCGTCAGCGTCCTCGGAACTCCTCCTCCATCTCATCCACGATCAACAATGATTGTCTTTCACCCCCTCCGCCTCCTCCTCCTCCTCCTCATCTTACTACTCTACCTCTTCCTCTCCTTCCCCCCACATGCTGGCGTGACTTACCAGAGCCCCCCCAAACCCTCTGACCCTCTCCATGTTTCCCCCCCTCTACTTTCTCTGGCCGTCTTCGCGCATCTTGGGGCTCGTTGGGGAATCAACTGGGTCGTCTTGGCGCCCGCTTCGGGCTTTATTCGGCAACTTTGGCCCTCTTTCGGAACCCTGTTGGGCCGTCTTGGGCTCTCTGAAGCGCTTCCATTTTTCCAACAGAGAAGCATGAGAAGCAACATGTGTGAAAACACATAAACTGATGTTTATGCCTGCATCGGGTCTCTTCTCGGTGCCTCTTGGAACCTCTCCTGTACGGCTATCCTGGGTCGTCTTGAGGGCCTCTTGGGCCGATTCGGGGGCTCCCCACGAAAGAAAAACGACCGCGCCTTGTAACCGAACGGAACAGTTCAAACCAGACCGACGCATCACACAACGGAGCGGAACATAACAAACTGAGAAAACTAGAACTGTCATTGCCGCGGCACCTCGCACCAAGCAATTTGTCCGAGCTCACAAAGCCACGGACTATCGAGTAGAACACGGTGGATCCGCGCTCACATCGCCATGAAACCAGGCAATATTGGAACGAGCTGGTCGTTTCATCAATTATATATAGAGACACGTAGCGTTGCACGCCGCTTTTGGCCCGTAATGAGCAGCGCCAAGGGAAACAAAGACTGCAATGGACAGCAAGCAGAACGACGGTGAGGAAGATGACGCTTGGCGACGCACTTCCCCACAAGGGCGAAGGACGCCCGACCGGGAGGACGCGGGGGTGGGGAAGGAAAGGGAGGAGGACTCCAATACAACGCTGGGCGCGCGGTGGCAGCTCAGAGCAACGCCGCGCAGGTGACGACGCACGGGGCGTGCTGACGTGTAGTTGGGCAAGCCGGCGGCTGGGTCGAAGCCAGCTGCGGCCACAAGAGTGATGACTGGCGCCCATCGACAGCTTAAGGCTTCGTGCTGGGACAGCTGGCATCGGGGCCCCCCTCGTGTACTGAGCTGCAGACGGTTGCGGGCGCGATGCTTTCTGCTAGTGGCACTGCCTCGCTGTGGAAATTTCGTCCAAACGCGGGAAAGAAGCGGAAGATGGAGGCGAAACGATGCGAGGCGAGGCGCCGGTCAATCGTCCTGGGGGACGGCCCTGCGAGAGCCCAGAGGTGGCGCCGGAACGCCGGGAAAAAATTGCCAGGCGAGGGGGAAGGAGGGAGGAGGGAGGGATTCAGGACGTGGTGTGGGAATTTCGCGCGCAATCCCCCAGTTTAACATCTGCCAGGAATTTCGGACCCAATGCCGGCCATACTTGTTTGACCGTCGCAATGTGCATCCATCTTGCGTGGTCGTCGTCGCCGCCGTGCGTAATGACTGTGCGTGGCGTCGTTGGGTTGGGCGTGGGTCGTGGGTGCTCGGGACCCAGTGGCTACTCGGAACCCAATGACTAAAGAACCGCGTCCACCTGTCGTAATCGTGAATTGCGCCTCGCGGTGCCCACCACCACTTCCGTTGGAAGCATACCGTAGGCCAATCCTCACCGCCTGCACGCTGAGCATGCCCCAGGGCTGCGTGCGTCGATTCTTGCAGGACGTCTTCCCACGGTTCCAATCCGTCTTCTCTGCCGTCAGCTCTGTCGTTGTGGGCGGGAATGTCTGCTGCTGCGTCGGTGCTGGCCGCTTCGCTGGTGTCGTCATCGCGGGCGTGGTTTTGTATATTGCGACGCCGTGGCCTACCCATTACAAGCCAGCCTGAACATTCTCCGCTGGGCGCGCCGTAAAGGGAGGAGCATCTCGCTGGTGAGTGTCCAAGTAGAGCAAGTATGTATCACTGATGCTGTGCTTGGTCTGTTGAAAAGCTTCAAACGGCTGTGTGATGAGAAGCGCTTGTGCGTCAGCTCATATCTCAATTGGTTGACGCGCCCCCGTCCTGCGGCAATCCTATTGCGCAACTCGGTGTCGTGAAACTCGTAGAAAGTGAACTTCTCCCTGACAACTTCGCGCTCTAGTCGGCACACCGTTGATGTCGACACAAGTAAGTTCTTACTTCTCTCTGGCTGAGGTTCGTCAAGGTCTTGGTTTTGTCTGGGTGCAGTGCGAGTCCACATGTCTTGGCTTGAGGCTTTACATCCTGGTGCGAACAAGAACATTGTCTTAAACCGGTGGCGTAGAGCAGAACATCGTTGGCGAAACGTAGATTTGTCATCCGTGTTAGTTGTGCGCAACCAAGTTGGATTCATTTGTTCGCGGTGCCACTCAAGTTTCACCTGTCTGACAACATGTTCGAAGACAGCATGGAACACATTGGAGCTCAGTGGGTCTCCCTGTTTCACACTGGAAGGCCCTGCTGGTGGTGTCAGTCCTGACTGTTGCCTCTTGGGTGCTGTAAAGTTACTTGAACATTAATGTATAAAGAAGGCATATGTTGCTGTCGAAAGGCTTCTCATCGTCGCTCGTGGTCTCCACAGTCGAACGCCGCCTTGACGTCGACTGCTGCTGCCCATAGCGGCAGATGCCACTCGTACATGCTCTCATGTAGCATCGCTGTGGTGAACAGGTGGTCTTCTGTGCAGAAATTCTTGCGGAAGAGAGCACTGTTGCGAGTCGAGCAAGGCATTCAGGCGGTTGGAAAGGAGGCGAGACCTACACTTGTGCAAGAAAGGGGTAGTGACAATGTGTAAAGTAAGGTGTTGGTGGTGCTCTTCCATTGGTCAGGTGGGGTCTTCTTAGGTTTGATGCTGTCGCTGTGAAGCCCGAGCAGATGGCATTGTATGATAGCGCCCCCACTTTTGAGAATTTTTGCAGTGAGTCCCGTGGTGTCTTTGCACGTGCCATTCTTGAATTGTTCGATTGCTTGGTGGAGATCGCTTGCGGTGAAAGGTGGAATGGTTGCGTCGTTTGGAACCATCGTCAGAATCTCGCGGATGCTGTCTGAACGGTGCGGGTTCTCATGCCGCTTTTCGTAGAAGGCTGCATGCACGTCTGCTGTACTTTGCCTGTGCGTTTCCTCAATGCCATCAGTGTCTTCTCTGATGCGATTCACTTTTTGTGCTTGTTCATTATCAAGCCAGCTATGCCCTTCAGACCTCTAAATTCGCAGAGGGCGGTTTCGAGCCTGGCCTGGTGATCATCTCGGTACGTTTGATGGCCCTTGTTTGCCGCATGATTTGCTTGCTGGGGGATCGTAGCCTCGTCTCTTGGTGAAATAGCACGTCGTTGTTGGATGAATGCTTTGGGCCGTGCTATTGGATCGTCGTCTGGGGTATCCGGAGGGTCTCTGTTGATTTTCTCGCGGTGCTTTTGGTTCTCCTTGTTCGCAAGCTTGAACCCTTCTCCGATGTTCAGACATCTGCTGTCCAGGTCGGCGTCGCGGTGCTGGTCTTCCAGGTGTTGCTGTAGGCGCTGTTGGAAGAATGGGTTGCCGGCTACAGGCTGGGAGCGTCCGTGGTGGCGTGATTGCTTGCGTCCCTCTTCTTTGTCGCTGTGGTCCCGAAAACCAGCTTGATGTGCACTGCTTGGTGGTCGAAGCTGAGATATGCTATACTAGAGGCGAACGAATCTATCACTTGGTTGCGACGTGCTTTGTCCATCAACATGTAATTAATTTGTGTCTGAGTCGGCTGCTTGCCACTGCTCGTATACTTAAAACAAATTGTGATCATGCTTGCAGAAAGAAATGTTTGCACTGGTCCGCTTCCGTGAGTTCGACCAAACACGGAGACATGTCCCTCGTGGGTTGCACGCGCCCAGTCCGAGTTTGCCTGCTCCGTGCTTCTCCCACCCAAAATATCTGATCGTTCGTTGTCGTGTTGCCACCGCCATTCTTGCCCAAGCGTCTGCCGACCTGTGCATTGAAATCTCCCGTGATGATGCATTTCCGCTTGGCTTGGGTGGCGGCGGCGTGAAAAGCGTCCAAGCGGTCGTACGTGTGCTGCGCGTGAGTGTCCGCGTGCCCAAGAAAGAGGGAAATGCGCCGTCACGATTTTCATGCTCTGTTTTGGGATGAGGATGTCGATGTAGGCGGTTCGCTCGTTGACGGCCCCGAAGAGTATTACGTGCCTGACGTGTCGCCGATGAACGAGACATGCAACTCCATGTGACGTGTCTGGACGGCCGGATCCTGCAAACCTGACCAGACAAGAACGGGAAGCGCCGTTTTTGTGTACCAGGTTGGTAAGACGAACGACGGATGCAGGGAGAAGAGGACGGGAGGAGGCGGATGACGAGGGCATCGTTGCAGGGCTATCAAAATGTGAACATGCGTAGTTCGTATGGTTCCACGTTGCAGACGGCGAATGTCGAAATATCGATCAGATGAAGGGTGCGATCTGTGGGAGTGGCAGTGACGGTGGATGCAGAGTGTCCCATGACAGCCGAAGGAAGATGGCCGCATGATACCTGAAAGAGGCCCCCAAGCCAGCTCACGAGGGCTCCAGGAAGTGTATCCAGAGAACCCGAGGAGGCAAAAACCAAGGGTTGTGCGTAGTTGTGTTATTGATTTTTGGATTTTGAGACTCCGGACTTCCGTCAGCTCAAGACGGCGGCCTAGGAGGCGTACAAGATTGCACCAGGAGGGCCCAAGAGAGCTCCGACATGAGGAAGG